AAAATCTCAAAATTGATTTTCTGCGCGGACACTGCCTTCAAGTTCAGTGGATCATCACCTCAAATTTAGGATTGGGCGGTGGACTGTGCGGTTTTGACATTTGCAAAAGAACGACCATGTGGTATCTACAAACAGGACTACCTGGGAGACCTGTTCGAGAGATATGGCGACCCAGATGATTGTCTTGAGGCTAGCCACACTCATGCTTTTGCGATTTTGAGCAAAATGCTTGAAAAGGACTTGGCTTAGGCTCCAAGTAAGCCAGCATGGGAGTATGGTGATGCAAATAGCTATGACGACTCAAATGAAGCGTCTACAAGTGCGTCCGAGGAAAAGCAGGAAAATGGAAATCAGAACGGAGATAGTAGGGTGTTCTCATTGGCATTTTTTCAAGATTTCATCCCCAGCAGTGTGCTTATTTTAGGCAAACCTGGTAAACCTGTGAAACAATTTATGGATGGCCTTGTACGCAATGTTAATCTGGTTACTGACTCCGTAAAGAGAAAAATGTTACAGGGAAAGGTGAGGGGTGCGATTTTGGCTGTCATTTATGTTTAGCTGGTGATTTTGTTCAGATCAAAGAATTATGCGGAGCTAAGCGTGATGGCTTCCCTGGATTGCAACCTGTGTCGCTGGAAAGGTCACGTGAGGCCGATAACATGAAGCTTCTGGCACAGCGTCCATACATGGTGTCATGGAAAGCAGATGGAATGAGGTATTTACGCTTTCCTGAAATTTTCACTCTCTGATTATCTTCTATACCTGTACAGATTTAATCTGTTTTTTAATCTATTTGTATTTTGTAACCCAAGATTACCATAAACGCATATTGCATGATTTTGAGTTTATTTTTGATTGCGCAGATTCATAGTCGAACTTTCTAACCGACGCATTCATTAAACATCCACATATAAAAATATTGAATGTATCCATCTCTGTACTTATTTTATAAAATACACGGACCGATTGCCGATCCTCGGAATCACTTTTACTTTGTTAATTCAAATGCGGTCACTTAGGCTTTTAGCTGTTATATATGGTAGAATTGTTTAGCATAGGCAGCACTAGTCATTTCTGCATTTTATCATTGTCTAATCTTGAAAACCTTTCTTTTTCCAACTCTAATATATTGAAAAAATCATCTTTTGATGGTTTTCTTCATAAATTTGATCGTTTCAGGTATATGGTTTATATCAACGGACCCAATGAAGTTTATGCATTTGATCGTGATAATGAGGTTAGTAAGAATGTTCTCTTG